GTTATTATTATTGCCTTTCCGGTGACACATCACCACAGCATGGCCTCCTTTTAAATGGTTTGTCTTGGCTTTCTGACCTGTCGGATTCATTTAGCAATAATGAGAACTATCCATTGCAGGAAGAGTTATTTTAATCATAATCATCCTAAAGATATATAATCCCACAGTGTAACAGAGGAAGAGCAACAGTCTGTGCATGCATGCAGTGGCTAACAGAGTTTGTGTTTCCTGAAGAATGACAAATTAGAGCTCATCAAAGCTAATTTTGTAGTCTTTTTCCATGAACAAGGGGAACATTTTGTTTGGGTCTTGTCATGTGAAATGCTTTAAAGTCCATTTAAGTCACTGGCGAATCACATGGGACTGACCCACATCTTACTAGTTGCTTCTGAGTTTTTGCCATAAGAAGAACGGTGGAGTGGCTTGACACACACCATATGCACCATATTCTCCTTCTTCTGACAATAATATTGGGTGGGGTGTTGCAGCCTTCCTTTTGATGAGCTCAGATCCAGTTTCACCAGCAGCACATTTACTGTATCTTTTACTTGGGGAAACATTAGTGCATCACCTTTCCATTCTAGACAGATTTCCAGTGCAGCATAATTAGCACCTGTGGGAACCGAATGGGTACAGTAATCTGCATTAGGTAATACTTTAAAACTTCTCTCTTGCCACTTCAGCTGAGATCAGTGTTCTGGGAATTTAGTTCTAAGCTAATAGTGGTGGAATGAGGTTAGGCAGTTAGCAAATGAAATGCTTTTCCAGTTCAAGCAATGTAAACAAGAAGTAACCAGAGTGATCATTTTAGGGCCAGATGGGCCGGGCTGGAGGCAAGGTGAAGTGAGTAGCCACAGTTTGCTACATGCTTCCATGCTTGCAGGGTCGCTTTCTTAAATGGAAAGTGTTTTTATTCATTGACAAAACAAGTTAATGTTGTCACCTAGCAGCATAAACATGTTGACAATTATTAAAATTGTTAGAACAACTAAAACATTCTACAGCCGCACCATATGACCTCTGATCAAGTGCGGCTTACTGGTCATGTGAATCAGTCCTTGATTTGTTTTGATTTGGCAAAGCAAACTTTTCAAATGCATGGTTATTTACCTTGTTTACAGAGTTTGTGTTTACAGAGTTGTACGGTAGAGATCCTGATCCTGCACCACTTCAGACTTCACATGGAAGTTCACATAATAAAATGAATTTATGTGCAAGAGTTTTTCCTGCCCACAGCAAAGTAACATGTCAAGGAGAAGAATTCTAGCTTAGCTTCCTCTCTCCCATGGTACTTTTGTTTGAGAACTGGGGAGCAGCGACATGGAGGAGCAATCTTGTGTACCTCCATCTGATAATAAAGCGTAACTGTGTGCTTATTTTCAAATGCTAATATCCATTTTCTAATTACGTTGCAAGAAACAAGACAATATTGTATGGGCCTCTCCTTAGGATTGTATAATTTCCCAGGGATCCACAAAATAGACTCCAAAAATTCCAGATCATTGGTGGGGGGAGGGGGGTTGCAAACTGAGTGTAGCACATCTAGAGCCACAGTGGTCTCGTACTTGACCTTCTCTGCATATACTGTTTCTAACTTAATTGTGGAGCTAGTAGAACATATGGAAAACATGTTCAGCGCAGTGCAACCGATGGTTAGCTTGTGTAAGCACACTTGTCACCTGATTACTGCATTGTTATGTCTCTGTCAGCTTGCATGTCTTAATGGACTATCAGTTATGGAATGTCAGCTCTAGTGGATGTGTTTAAGAACCATTCTTTCACGATATATGCATTTTTTAAAAATCCTGTCAAATGCCTGCTTTGTGCACCAAATACAAGATTCAGGTTGACTTTGATACTTCTGAAAGTGCACTACTTTGCCTTGAGCCATTTTGAAGACAACCTGTTTTGCCACTGGGCTCATGAGGAGCCTTGTTTTGGAAATCTCCAATGATTAAAATTGGAAAATGAAAACAATGGCTGTACATTTTTTTTTTTTTTACTTTTTCCACCGAAGGCATAGTAGCCACTTCTGAGTAGATGAAGCTTGCCAAATGTCAGATGAACAGGTGCAGCAATTTTTGTGCTGGCTGCCATTTATACAAGAGATGCGTTTTAAAGTAGAGACCTGAGCCTTTTTAATTTCTCTATAGAATTGGGTGAAGTTTGCAGGCATTGTTGCCCCTCCTTAGGGGGTAAAGCCCTAAGCAGAAAAAAATAGGACTGTTTGGTACAGAAAGATTCATTCAAGAGGAATTTTTAGCATTTGGAGGGGCAAATGCATTTCATCCCTCTTGTCTGTGGTTTTGGGGCTTTTTAAAAAAAAACAATAACTTACATTGCAACAGTACCACTAGGCAAATAAGCTGGAATTTCAGAAGGATAGGTTTAGGGATCATAATTGAATGAAAAGCAAGTTTGTTTGTTTTCTGCTGAGTTGACACCAATGGATGATTTCCTTCACTTCTTGCAAAAGCGCTCTGCTTTGAAGTAAAAAGGAGAACCATGCTAAGGTTATTCCCTGATTGGAGGTTATGTCAGGCACAAAACTATGCCCTCACCCCACTTCCAGCTTGCTTGTCATTTTTGTTTTATGGCAAGCTGGGGGATCAGGTATCCATTTTAAACTGACTTCTCTGAGACATCTGAAACTCTCCAAACATCTGAAATAGGTCTTGACTCTTAGGATAGCCTTGAAAGTAAGGTGCACCTTAAACTATGCTCTTGGAGCAGCATGTTTTTTTTCTGGATTCAAGTTTCATCCAGAGTGGATGCATACCCTACTGGCATATTAGGATATCATTTTGGAGTCAAAGGCAATGGAAACAACTCTTGCACTAACTGGACATGCATATCATTAAAGTCCTGAAATGTATATTTTAACATTTATCCTGTATTGAGCATAAACTGCAACACAGGCAGATATGGCATAACTTGAACATGGAACAGAGAGAGTAAGTCAGCAAACTGAGGAAGGGCTTTCAAATGTGTCCTTAGCACCATTCCTTACCTCCAGGTTATCATTATAATACATGACCCTGGTCTGTAGTTCATTACCATTGCTCCTTAATTAATCAATGGCTGATTATCGGCCATGCTATGAGGCTAGTAAAGATGTTGAATTTCTGAAGAACTGCAGGTATTACGTTAGCTACAGATGAACTGAGTCACTATTGCAAAACAAAATCAGTAGAGGTTTGAGAGCTATAATGGAACAAGTGTGTTAGGTGTATATGAGAATTTCATTTCTATTTGCAGTATATTTGAACAAGTCTCATTTGCAACCCGAAATGCAACTGTGCATGCATTTTCAGAGAAAAAGTTGAGATGTTTCCAGATTTGCAAGGCCTCTTGAAAACTTTGCATTTCTATACTTTGTGAATTGGGAGAGGGATATTTTGGGTGCACCATTAAAAAGGAGGCATTTTCCCAATCAGGAAAAAAAATATGACAGTCATGTTGGGAAATGTAAAGGAGGTGAACCAAGCTTCAAGAAAGAATTTGGAGAGCATCCACAAGCTTGAACATTGCATGTTTGCCAGTCCCTGGTATGTTTTTCTGCTTAGAGGTGTCATCCACCTAAGATCCACACACATCCCTACCCCAATCTGGGGAAGGTAGTCCCTCCCATATTCAGTGCAGCAGTTCAGCAGACAAGGTCCCAAGATTTGTTCTTGCACACAGAAACTAGTTCTAATACTCCCTTCCTGATAGAATGGCCTTTGAGCTCTCACCAGGCTTAGAGGGAATCCTATACTTGAAAGAAATTAGAAGCATTGCATGCTGTTCCACTCAGCTGTTCATTGTATAGAACCCCTGCCTTCCATTTGCCCATGCTTGTGTCTTATATCCACACTCCAAGGGGCAGTAGCTTCTTCCCAGAATCCCAGGTTTTTGCTGGACAGCACCCAGAAAGGTAATCAAACAGTCATTCTTGCTGTCCCTTTCTGATTCAAGTATGGATGGAGGTCAGGCAACAAGAGGTATTCAGTAGATTTCCAGAAATTGGGTGCTGGGGTTTTATTTTGCATGTCATTCATGAGGTCAGAGTTGCAAAGGATTGCGCATCAAAAGAAACTTGACTCTCAGTGGCTGATCTCTGGGCAAAACGCTCCCTGCAGATCAGGTGTGTGGGAGCCCTAAGGCACTTATGCTGACATACTCCGTGGAACAAGTTGTATTGCATGCCCAAGGCTGGCCCAGTGTCAATATGTGTCATACACTGACCATCATGACAGATTTGCTAGATGGGATTTCTGTAATTCAGCCAAGCAGTGCTGTGCCTTTGAACCTAATGCTGAGTTTATAGCAGATTTGCTGATCCATCCAATTGCTTGCTCCTAAAATAATTGGCAAAGTCAAGATTCATAATTAGTTCATTTTGACTGGAATGGAAACACACAATACTGCTCTCATTCTCTGAACTTCCATGAAAGAGACCTTTCCATGATAGAATTGTGTATGTTTCCATTCCCACCTGATAGAAGAAATGTGAAAAGCAAAATTGCACATGACTGTAAGGCCAGAAGCTACACATTAAAAATATCTGCTATATGCATTCCAAGAAACGTAAAATAGAAAGGGAGTGACGCAGAGGACACTTCAATTATCCAGTGCTTTACATGTATTTCAGACGGCAGCTGTGCCAGCAGAACCCCATGTGCCTAACATTTAGCATTTTATTTTTAAAACAGATTTTAATTTTTCTTTTATATAAATGTGTGAGTCACCACATATAAGGCCCCAAAATTACACGAATAGCAGTGGAATAGGCAGCCTAGCTTGTGGGGTCAGGGGTGGGGGGCATACAGGACCTTCCTCCATGCCTTGGGATGCCTTAGGCCAGCCTTAAGCTGTTGTGATGGTAAAGGTAACAAATGCAGGTTTCCACAAGACAGAATTCTAAACTTTCTGGAAGCCGGTGTTTGTGATTATCTGCCCATTTAAAGATGCTGTGGACATTCACTGACCTTGCTCTGTCTTGACTTCTTTTTCCTCAGACCCTTCATCTGACATGAGTCCTAAAGAAGAACAAAAAAAACCCTTTGCCAAAATCAACTGTCAGCAAGGACAGGGATACCGTTTACAGCTTACAACCTTTGTGAACCCTGCATTATTTTCCTAAAGGAACAGAGACTGTTAATGACCCCAGAGCTTGAGTGATGAACCCTCTTGTCTGGAATTGAATTCATCCTGAAGTATGCAAAATCTTCCTCTTATGGGGTGGCCCAGCACCAACTTGAGGATACGTTGCATCCGCCACCACCCTGTTCCAGAACACACTGTGTAGCCTTTACAATAGTTTATTTGTCAATCAGTTATATGGTGTTCCAATATGTTAATGGGTTGCAGGATGTTATTGACTGGCTTTTCTTTTTCAGGGTTTCCCCCACCCCACCTCCCTAAGGTGTGAGTATTTTTTTTCCTCTCTGAAATGCTTTAATTTTTCCTCGTGAATAGGGAATGCAAACTAATATATGCACAATGAAAAGTTGAATCCATTTTGTCTTGAAATATCAACAGCACTTGAATATTGCAGTCTTTCATAGCACCTACCAACTGATTGGATTTAAGAGGTCCTTTATAAGAGGGGTTAATGTTTGCTTTTGGTTTGGGCTTTTTACTTTTCATTTGGGTCAATTAGTTAATTGGTTGGTTCTGATCCAGTCTTTACAACCCCAAGCTATTTTCCTAAATTGAAGGGTACATTTTCCTTTCTATTGTCAGCACCAAGAGTGTGGATTTTACCTCACAAATTTAGCCACCGCCGTTGCTGCATTCTAGCCAGTGTTCAAAGGGTGCGAAGGAGAAGGGCATTTCGTTGGTCTTGGTGAGTCAGTAGCTGTCAGGCCCAACCTTGCCTTGTCTGTTATGCTAGTCCTTCTGCCCAAACAGCCGCAGTGATTTTGATTTTGGGGCGGAAAATGACTGAGTAAGCTGAACTGTTTTCCACTTTGCCAAACAATTTGTCCATAACGACCTGGAGAGCAACAGCTTGCTCTCACGTGAATGATGATGGTGACGATAAAGACAAAAAGCTAAATAAAAATGACTATATTGCATGAAAACAGAGTTTTATGTATATGGTATGTGCATCATCCAGGTCATGGGTGATTTATTGCATTGATGATTATTTTTACATCCTCTTCTTGATTATTCTTTCCTTCTTGTGATGTATCATTGAGGCTGGGAGGAAAGGCTGAAGGAGGGCAGCAAGAAGAGACATGGAGGGAAAAACCATACAGGTAGCTTTTCATAGGAGCGTAGACTGTAATTGGATAAATTCCACTGAAAACAAAGTAGTTTTTATATATTTTGCTTATATGGGTTTCTTTTGTAAATTTATATAGTAATAATGACTGGCAGTTATGGTGCTGTGCAGGTCCTGCTTGACTACCTTTTTCGTTATCTTTTTTGGGGAGTGGAGCAAAGAGGGGAGGAAAGAAACCCATTGGTACGTGATTTTTTTTTTTTTTTAATGGTGTGAGGACACTTTGGCTAGGACAACATAGACACACTTCTCCAAAGTGATATATGAAAAACTTTTGGCATAAAGACATAATACATATAAATATATAAATATATTTTATTATGTACAGAAACGGATCATTATGCATGAATGTTAGTTAGGAGAACAGACTAGCATTTTAACCCAAAGTTTCAGTGCATGAGTTTCCACTGGCACATGAACCATGTACTCTGTGGTGTGACTCCCTTCAGCCACCACACCTCTGTGTGCGTGCATATATAGGGCACAGAAGCACACACACATACACACGTCTGTAGGCCCCGTATTGCTCCTTCGTTTCTAACCCTCTGAGATAATATTGGTGAAATAACAGCTCCTCGTGTGATGGAAGTTTTGTTTTGTACTGTAGCCTCCTTTTGACTGTGCTGCGCTATTCTATAGACAAACTTGTGAATTCCATCATGCAGTGCATAACTGAATTATGAAAACTGTGCTGTTGTGGTTCTAAATAGGTCATAGAATATAAACTTTCCAAATACTTAAGATTTTTTTATCATTTAAAGAAAATACAAACTATTTTTTTAATGATTAAGGTGGTATATTTGTCAATGGCAGGGTCATGTATCATATTTCTTTAATTAGAGACAACCAATGTGTGTTTGTTCTCCACATTGGAAAGGGCTTCCCTGAGAGGAAAACACTATAAAATTGTCATCTGTTCCAGGGGCTTAAGGAAAGGTGTCAGTTTATTCAGAGAGATTAAGTTATAGGTACCTATTACCAAAGCTAGTTAAGAGTTTGTTCACATGCCTTCAGTATATAAGAGTAAATGGTACATCATTAAATGTGAATTCAGCTAATGATGTCATTTTGGGGCGTTTGTTATTTTCTTCTCTAAAAGCAATGTATTTGGAGATTGACAACTTATTTTATTTCTAAGTTTCTGTTATCTCAACAGGAAATCTGTGCATAAAAAAAAAATATCTGGTACTCACCAAGCTTTATGGTTTCCTTGTTTGACTTCTCCTGTTGAGTTTCCTTAATCTACTTGAGGGTATAATATATCAGGGAATTCATGTAGAGCAGGATTGGACAAAAGGCAGATCTCTGGATACTTTGTATTTCAACTTCCAGAGGGTCTTCCAGCATAATGAATAGCCAGGAATTATGGGAGGTATAGTCTAAAGCATCAGGAAATCTATTTTCTGACCACCTCTGATGTAAAGAAGCAGACAGATCAACCCTCTGGTAAGCTCTAATTTTATTCCAGTGATTAATTTGCATCCATCCAAACTATGGAAACAATTTGGCCAAAGTTAAGCATGTTATTAAGGTCCATTGATTTCAATGGGAGAGAGTTAAACACCTGCCATGGACATTAGTGAGACTTGAAGGTTGCCCTGTTTTCTGGGACGTAAATCCGTACTGAAAATAGTTTGACTTCTGTGTAAATATACATGGAATCAGACTGTATTCCCACAGTCCTAAAGTATATCACATGATTGCCACTGCCTCCTTCCACAATTAACACCCATAGAATTTTGTAGGATAATTTCTACCCATGTCAAACCCAAGTGAAGATGTCCTCAGTGGATAGGCAGCACTTCTGTTTTATGAGAACATGAAAGGAATCGCTGCTGCCTGGAAAGAGGAAGAGCAAGTGCTGTGGCTCCGTGGTAGGGCATGAGCTTTGCCTTCAGGGATGCAAGATTCGATCCCTGGCATCTCCAGTTACAGCTAGAGAAGATCTTTTCTGAATCTCTGGAATGCTGCCAGTCAGTTTTGGCACATCAGATCAGATGCACCAAGGGCCTGACTCGGTAGAGCAGCTTGCTGCCTTCTTGAATTGTTTATACTTTCTTATGATTCCATCCCAGGTAAGTGAAAAGGATATTTAAACTAAGGGACCCTTCTGAGTTAAGGTTGTTGGATAAATTTACAAAGGATTCAAATAAGTTCAGATTTCTATGAATCTGACCTGTGGGCTCTGCAGCAGAGAAGCTTTTCCAGAGTTGCATAGATCCTACAGACTTGCAAACCATTTTTAAACTTTCCATAATTCTATGCAAATTTTCTCATACAAAAATATGAAAAATAAAGAACACCAACCTAAAATACACATTCCCCACTTAGACTAAACTATGTAAATGCATGTTTTAGGGGGAATTGTGTATTTTGGGAGGATGTGTACTTCTTGGAAGTGTGATCTTGCACAAATCTTGCAAATGCATTTGTGCAAAATCCAGTTCTGTCAACGGGCAGGCAAAAGATGCCTTGTGATCCGTCAGAGAGATGGAACAGAACTTGCAAAGTCCATAACATCCCCTTTCTGGGTAAACAAGGAGCCTCTTTGCAAATGAGTTAAGCTAGTACTAAGAGAACAGACAGCTTGGCTCTGTTGAGTTTCATAAGATAAAATCAGAAAATAGAAACCACCACCACCCAGTTAATTAGCTTGCAATGAAAATGCATTTTTCTGAAAAGATGTTACTTGTTTTAGAAATCCAGCAACTAAAGTGCCTACTGTAGTCAGACTGGACAAGATCACGTGAAATATAAGCACTTTGCAGCCTGATTCTGTATGGGTTTACTCTGAAGAGAGTCCTACACATCATGTATTCTGTTCTCTGTCACAGGAATGTTAATATGAATGGAGTCCGTGGAAGCCTGTCAGTTGCTCCATTGTTTTCTATAGCTGGACTCCAAAGGCTCTCACAATACTTAATTCCAGATCTTTGGATTCAGTCCTCAACTGGGAGCCCAGTCAAGAAATCTTGCTCTTAACCCAACCTCCCAGCATCTGCACTCCAGCTTAAAGGCAGGCTTAAGTAGATTATGTCCTTTCTGTGTCATCTTTTACCTAGAGAATGGCCACAGTATCCACAATTATTTTCCAATTTGCTTCCCAGAGCCACACCTAATAATATGGTAATTCACTTTGCTTAAAGCAAACACCTGGGAAATCCTCCGTTAACTATTGACCCAGTTTTGAGATAACACTAACCCATGGTTTCATTACAAGAATGAGCTGTGGTAGCCTCAGGCTCACAGCGCCTTTCTGTTCTATCTGCAAGGGGAGAAGATTGAAAGCTTCCATTTTTCATTTGAATAAACCACAGTTTATTTTGGTCAGTTCTGATAACAAACTAAGATCTGAAACCATGTTTAGATCCTGGTTTGTTCATACTAGCCACAGTGAGGTGAAACTCGTTTTTTAAGTTCAAATGTAAGAAATCAGTTGGGGTGGGGGGTTTCATACATTTAAAATCTCTTTTTTAATCAAAGTGAAGGTGATTATGAATACAAAGATGAGTGGAAGCTTTCAATCCCCCTCCATTTGTACCTGAAAGAGAAATGGTGTGGGAAGTGCAAGCCCAAGAATCACTGCACTTGACACTAAACCATGGTTTACTGTTTTCTGAATCAGACCTTCAAGCCAGATGGTAATACATCTTTCTAAATTCAAAGGATCCTTTGGCACTCAGACTATATTATCAAGATGTGAACATAAACCATTTACCGTAAAGTAGTTTCGAACTACTTGCATTGACTCCACATAGATGATTTAAATTCTCCACCATCACAAGTATCTACCAGCCAAAACATAAGGGCTCAGTTCTGAAGAACTTTGAGAACTTCAACCCTAACAGCATTTAAGCATATGAGATGTTATTCTTGATCTGTGTAAACGCTATGGTACATGATCATCAATATGTGTGAACAGAATCAGTTACTCTGATGGGTCTGTGGGAACTTTGCAGACTTGTTGGATTATTTGTGGGGTTGTATTTATAAAATTAAGTAACCCATTCCAGTAACCTTGGCTATTGAATTATGAGTCCATTAAAAATTGAAATCATGTCCAAAGCAGTTTCTTTAACTGTCTTTTGAACAGATCACAGCTCTCTGTTTTTAGACTACGTCATAGTTCTTTAACTTCACTTTTGCTGAAATAAGGATCTAATGATGGGTTACCAGGCTGCTGCCTGTCATATCTAAACTAAATGCTAGGACACTTATTTCTTGGAAGTGACATCATTGCTTGGCGACCAACTTCTGTTCACTGTTTTCTAAACATGATGTATATTGAAAATACCAGCAAATGTGAAGGGGGACCAGATATAATTTAACTTCCTAAACAGAGGGGTGGGGAATGTATTGTATATTATGGCTTCACGTGTAAAACTTTTTTTTAACCAAAAAAAGTTGCATGAATGGACAAAATATGTATACAGTATCTGTAAAACTGTCTTACCTGGGTTATTTCTTTCACTGTCAAATCACATACTTTGGAAGAATATTCCATCCACTGCCTTAGTGCATGGCCGTCTTTCCTAAGAGGTGCACAATTTTTACTTTTCGTATGAGCTACCTTGCCGTTTCATTTGAAAGCTGGCACTGTTGTAAACTCAACGGAGGCTTTTGTGAAACCAAATGCTGACATAGGTGAATATACTACCTTACTACTTAATGACTGGATGTCAGTTTGATTTGAAAACTTCCCCCTTTGCAAATGAAATAGCTGTGCAAAGCTTAACTACACTTGATGTTTAGTAGATATTGCCTTGTGTATTCCATTCTTAATTGTAATCTAGTTTGTAAAAGAAATTGTGACGCATGTAAATAAAGCGTAAGGATCTCTATGATGAATGTATAGACTTGTTTTCCTTCTTCTTTTTTTCCTTCATAGAAACTAAATACCTTCTGGAGAAAAAGTTAATCTTCCATGCACTCAATTCTTCCTTATGAAAACACTTGTTATACATAGTCATTGTTATTCTTTCCCCTCTGCAGTAGTAGAGCCAATCTGTGCAGGAAAAAACAGCTAGACTAGGTCTATACCACTTCAGGACCATGGAGGGTAGGGTTACATATCTAAATCATAGTATCATAGAACAGCAGAGTTGGAAGGAACCAGAGGGCCATTGGGTCCAAGCCCCTACTATTGCAGGAAACTAAGTTACACCATCCCACTCAGATGAAAATCCAGAAGCGTTTTGAATGTCTCTAGCAAGGGAGAGCCCACAACTTCCCCAGACAATAGGTTGCATTTTGGACTGCTCTGGCAGTGAGAAAATTCTTTCTGGTGTATTATCTATACCTGGTTTGTTATTCTGTGTCCTGCATTCTGGGAGGGAGGAGAAGAGATTCTGTGCTCCTTTGTAACAGCCTGTTGATGGCAACTTGCTATCATTATCACCCCTCAGTCTTCTCTTCTTGAAGCTGAAAATGCCTAGTTCTTTCCATCTTTCCCCATAGGGCTTTGCCCCCATTTTCTGAATCATCCTTGCATGTTTTTGCATATTAAACATTTCCGGCATGTGAAAAGCTGGAGGTTCAGGCAGAAGGATTCTTGCCTAGCCATCTCCTTGTCATGCTTCTTTTCCGTGTGCAGAAAGTTTTGTTTTAATATGGAGCTACTCGTTTGTTTGCAAGATCTGAAGGTGAATGCATTTTATTTAACCAGTATACTCTAAGGGGTATACATACAGAGTATGAATCTGGATTCAGATTCCAGCATGCTCATCCAACTAGTGTGATGGCCCCAGACAGGTAGGTCTCCCCTCTGCCTCATTCCCTTTATGTGAAAAGGGAGCAGCATCATGCTGCGACACAGAACCTTATGCACATCAATGAGAATAGGGTATGTTACCAATCTGGAGCATGCAACCGCATGTGTGGTGAGCCACGGTGGTGTGGTGGTTGAAGTGTTGCCCTGGGGACCTGAGAGATCCAGGTTCTAATTCCCATTCAGCCATGAAGCTCACTGGGTGACTGTGGGCAAGTCATCTCTCTCGGCCTAACCTACCTCACAGGGCACAGGGTGGTTCTTGTGAGGATAATATAGAGTGCAGGAGGACTATTTAAACTCCCTCAGGTTCCTTGCAAAAAGTGTGCGTGCGTGTGCGCACTTACGCATGTGTGCATGCTTCCACCAGTTAAACATTTGGGGCTAAATGCCGTCTTTTTCCCCTTAATAGATTTCCTGTGATAAGAAAAAAGATGGAAGAAACAGTGGGAAAACGTGAGTGGGGGGATTATCAGTGGGAGACCATGTCAACTAGACTTCCCAAAAGTTACATGAATGATGTGACAGTCACCTCATCTGCAAATATTGTGTGTGGAGACAAGACACAAAGCTGTTTTAGCTTCATTGACTGAAAGCCTGCCATTTGGAATGCGCGCTTTGTCCAAGATGCCAGAGATCATACAACAATACAAGTAAGGCTGAGACCACAACAGCACATAACCATGCACCACTGACTGGAGGGCTGGTTCATGCGATCCGCCCTGCCCTGCAGTAACGGTGCTCACTGGCCCCTCCACTGTGCTACCCAACACCAGGCTGCCTCTGGTTCCCAGGATGCAGGACTTGCTTTGTCCTGCTGTGCAGGACTGGAAGTCACGGCTGAAATTGCCACAGCCTTAAGCATCAAGGCCTGAACAGTTTTTCAGCTGAAGGAAAGTTTGCTGTAGTGGTAAGCAGAAAGTGATTGGAGGAACAGTATCCTGGAAAATGGGAGGGAAGACAAAGATCTTAAGTATCACATATTGTGAGAAGGCTCTTGGAATTGTTGATCATAAGCAGAATTTGAGTAAACAATGTGATGTGGCTGCAAAAAAGGCAAATGCTATTTGGGGCTGCATTAAGAGAAGGATCACTCCCAGATCATATGAAGTTCTGGTTCTCTTCTAGCACAAGGTGGGCCTCATCTTGAGTACTGTCTTCAGTTCTGTACCACAGTTTAAGAAAGATGCAGACAAACTGGAAAGGATTCATAGGTGTTCAGGATGCAGCTGGACAGCCATCTGCTGGAATACTTTTATTGGAATCCTGCACTGAGCAGGGGAATAGATGGCCTTATTGGCCCAATAGCCTTACTGGCCTCCTCCAACTCCTCTATAATTCTGATTCTAATGTCTGTGCCAGGAGGGTAGAGTATGGTATAGTAGCTTATGCTGTGTCTGATTTTGGCTACTCCACTACTTTGGAACTGGTTGGCTATCCATGGCAGAGTAGTGCATCCAGGGCTCCATTTTGTCTGTCCGTTGGAACAGTTGTGTGGAGTCAATGCAAAGCTACCATTTCCCTTTACAAGTTCCTAAATGGCAGTAGCGTTCAAATAGAATAATAACAGCTGGATGTGACCAGAGGTTGTCTGATCCAATCACCTGCCATGAGCAAAGCATTTCTACACACCTTTCCTTTTGGCTAATTAAAGGAGTGATCCTGTGCTAGTTTAGACAGAAAAAACTTACAACTCCCAGCATGCTGCAACCATGATGGGGGGAAATGGACAGGATGGAGATTAATGTGCTAGTGCCAAGACTACACTGTGCAAGAAGGCAGTGTGATATTGTGCACTCCGGAGTCAAAGCAGCCCTGCGGCAATCATTTGCTGTACTGCAGTGATGCAGAAGAGGAAAAGTGGGACTGTTCTAAACCAGCACAAGAGGGGGGAAATCAATCCCACAAAAGTCATACTGCATGCAAAGAATGGATTTGCCTAGGAAGTTGTCAGAGTGCACCTTGGATATACGAGTGCTCCATACATAACCCCATGACTTGGGCAGAGAGAAAAGATTAACTTTCAACTTTGCAGACAACCTCAGTGGATGCAAAGCTATCTTCATAATAAAGGCCAGCAACAACAGTTGGACTTTCCAGCCCAGCCAGTTTTAACTGCTGCAGCTGGTGCTGCTTTAAGGACACAATGTGATTTTTCTTTTAAGGAAACTCCCAAGACACCACTGGGTCATCTGCATTTATTTTTGTGAAGAAGGCAAGAGACAGGTTTTTAAACAAAAACCTACTATTAGGGTAACATAAAGCCTGAGGCATTTTCTTTCCGGTGTTTAATATGTTCCCAACTTTACACAACAAGCCCTCCCTAACATGTCCTTTTCTCATGATTTTGAAATTCTACAGTTGGGCTACAATGCTTCATATAGGTATATGCCACATAGCTGGACCAAAACTAGGATTTTGGTCATGATAAAATCCACATGAATTCACCTTTAGAGTTGCATCTAACAATCTTGTGCAAACTGGCTCACAGCCTACCATGTGAGAGGCCACTTACAATATTATGACTATAGGATCAGGTGAGATCAGGTGTGGCATCTTCAGTCAAGCCACGCCAGGACCACAGCAGGGCCCACCATGAAATGTGCCTTCAATTATGAGTAAGCTAAAGAAATGTACTCTGAGAACCCCATTAATTTTCTTTAGTGCCAGCAGCCAAGCGCTTGCCTCTCTCTTCCCGTAATTCCCCAAATATACACTATGCAGGGGCCATGTGGGAGACTGAAATGGCAGTCACCTAGTGTTGACCAGACAAATGCTATTTCCTTGCATACCTGCTGGAGCGACAGCTGGTGTAGGACAGGCCCTGATGGGGACCCTGCATGGAGGTGCAGTTCAGCTCAGTTTCATTGGAAATAAACGTCATTACGGTCAGTTCTGATGAGTTCGCATTTGCTCTGAGAACAGCTCACACCAGCAGTCTCATTGCACAAGGAGTGTAATCTCCTGAGAACAGAGCTCTACTTCCTCAAAGAGATGCCCGATCCTGGAAAGTTTCCTTCCCATTGGTATAAAATCTGTCCTGAGACAGATTTCGTAAAGAACGGGATAAAAATGTGCCATGAATGAATGCACCTTAATGACAGAATGACCATTCCAGTATGGACTTGCTCAAACTCTAGATTGGCAGTGATCCAATATGCTGCCAAACCACTGTAGTAAAGATTTAACATACACACAAGCTGATTCTGTGCTCCTCCTCCTCCTCTGTACCTTTTGTCCTCTTCCACAGAACCCACGCAACTACACTGGAGAGCCAGTGTGGTGTAGTGGTGAAGAGCATGGGACTGGGACTCAGACGATCCGGGTTCTAGTCCCCGCTCAGCCATGGAGCCAACTGGGTGACTTTGGGCCAGTCACAGACTCTCAGCCCAACCTACCTCACAGGGTTGTTGTTGTGGGGATAAGATGGAGGAGGGGAATGATGTAAGCTGCCTTGAGCCCTTTGTAGGGAAAAGGCAGGATATAAATCGAAAAATAAATAAAAAATAAAAAAACTTGCAAAGGTCTCATCTTCATGCTATCTTCACAACAACCCTGTGAGGTAGATTAGGTTGAGAGTCAGTGCCTGGCCCACTGTGAGCATCATGACCAAGTGGGGTCGAGCTCTTTTAACCACTAGGTTAAACAATGCCTATGTACTCAGATGTACCACCGCCTGAGGTAAATTGGCCTTATTTCCAAAGGCATGGGCATAGGATTGTGGCCTGGCTCAAAATCTGTGTCCAGTTCGTGCATGTTCCCTGCTGCTTCCCTCCCCGCACCACCCCTAGCCACAATTTCTCCAGTTGGCATGTTTACAAGTGTGAATTGGCCCTCATTTACCAACTATACAATGCAAAACCGATGGTACTGTATTCTACCTTAGTAATAGGTCAACAATCATGAAAAGCTGGCCCGGCTGCTTTGTAAATATGACCTCTGTCAGCTACAGACTTGTTGCAAAATCCGTAGATTGATGACTCATGAGTTCGCTTGAGGACTTTGACTTTTCAGTCTGAGAGTGACAATGCTAATCTTTTGTGCATTTTTTGTCACTGCATTTCCTCATTGCCATGTAAATTGAG